CTTATTTGCTAAACATGATTTGATGTCCCGGTTGTTAACATAAAAGCAGGTGGCCATTTAACTTCGGTAAATATACTTTCGATGTCAAGTTTGGGGTTTTAGAATATGGGAAATGCCGCCTGGAGTAGGGGGTAGTTAGAGGTGGTGGTGGTGGTGGGGGCGGGAGCAGCCGTTAGACCAGGGGAAGGAAGGACGGACGAACGAACGTAATGGGGGCGGAGGGAAACCGTTCGAGGGGACGACCTTAAGACTGGGGTGGGGACGGCTCGTGTTTCAGTTAGCGTTAAATTTGTTGCATGTTCGGTGCTCTAATCAGGCATGTTGAGATTAGGTTAGGTTGATAAACTGTTACAGTGGGTCAGAAGCTTCTTGCCTCATAAATTGTAAGTCAGTGGATTGTTCATACAGGTAGTTGATTTTCCTGTTTCTGAAATAGGAATAAACATCACTGAGAGTAAATAAGTGACTTTTGCAAAAATAAACAAAAATGCATGCTTGCAAACTCATTATCGGTTATTGTAGCTTAGCTTAAAAACTATATAACTAGTACTGTTCTAAATTTGTTGTCAGAACAAATGATTTCATTTAATTGTTAAAAAAAAACAACAAATTATTGATTTAATCATTGGAAGACTTGCATGTTTTGGTGTTTATATGTTTTTCTCCTTGTATAGTTATTTTGTTTTCTCTCTTCAACAGCTGCATCCAGACACTCCTGAACTTTTCCTGGCAAGCAACTAGGCATCTTTAGAATAGGTGTGTACATTTGTTTTTGTTTTACTCAACCTGTTAAACCTTTAGTTTAAATTAAGAAATGTGTGGTGTTTTCTACAATAACATAGACATAATGTTTTGTTGTATCTTTCTAATAATGTCTAACGCAGCACTATGTAACTTATGATACAGTTTTTTTACATATTTGTTGAAGCTGTCACTGTGTCCTGATATTGCATGAGAGATAATGTGTGGAAAAAACATGTAGCTCTTCTGTTAGCCAGTGCTAACTGGATTCAAACAGTCAGAACCAGGAGGCAGGTGTTAGCGTGTCAATCACAAACTCTTGTGGTGCTGCTCATCCCACTTCTCCCCGATCTCTTGCGTTTGGCTACGCTACAGCTAACGGAACCTGTCATGAATGTTGAGATTAGTTATCATGGACACCGATGACAGTGGATAAATGGTTTTCCTGTAATGGTAAATTGATTGACAGCGCTAAGACTCTCCTCCTGTTTCTGATTGGTTGTTTTTGGTTGGGAGTGATGAATTTCTTCAGATGGAAATAGTAGCTCAGGGGGAGTGGAGGAGTTTATTTTCACAAATTATACATGACATAAAATCATGACATGGTGACTTTATTTTAACAAATATGTAAAAATCTGTGTATGTTTTTATTTTCTCAAGAAAATATTTGTGTACTTGTGTATGTTAGGGATGCACCAATAAATCTTCCCCAAATCCTTAATTTTGAAGATTGGTGATCCACCAGTACATGTGAAGGTGATTTCACCCACTGTTCTTATCTACCTCAGCAAAGATCTAAAAATCAACCGCTTCCCTCTCCTGTTAGAGACATTTGTCTGATAGACTGGCCCACCATGTCATGTCTCCATGTTTGCAGTTATCAATAGTCACCCCACTGACGTTTTGCTGCGTTTAGCAATATTCAGACAAGACAATCAGTATCGGCCAAAATCAGAATTGACAAGTCAGATTTTTAAAGATTGGCCAGAAATCTGCAATTGACACACGCCTAGTGTAATTTTTTTTTAATGTCAGAATTCATCAAAATTACTCAATGTTTGTGAAAGAGCTATTAGCAATTGGTGAGACACTGATGAGCAAGGTGATGTGCTGCTGTAATGTAATTTAGAAAAAGTAAGTTTCTGTGTTAAACTTGAATATCCATTCTCTTTTTTTTTTAGAGTTTTTCTGGGTTCAAACCCTGAACGAGGTCGACTGACACGTCGCCGACGAAGGTGAAGAAGCAGCTTTGCATTCCAACCAGATGGCTCAATTCCCTTAATGAACTGAATGACTGGGAATCCATGGAAAATTTGAGCCTTTTGAAGTTTAAATGTGATTGATCTCATCAAACCTGGTGCACCAGGAACCTTTGCGAAGCACAAGAACTGGTCAGAACATTTCAAGCTCTTGGTAACTGGACCTAAGAGTTGGATTAACCTTTTTTTGCAGAACATAAACATAAAATGGACTGTTTTGTTATGTTCACAGCGACTAGAGGTAATGAGAGCACACACTCATGAATCCAGTGTCTTCCACTGTCGTTGGCATTAGGCTGTGTTTATGTATTTGATTTTTAACTGAATATTCATACCTGTATTTCATAAAAAAAATATTTTGAAGTATGTTGGTCCTGTTTACAACTATGATTTTCATGATCCAAAGCAATTTTTATATGTTCCATGTTAATTAACAAAATTGTTTATTTGATTTCAAAGACTAGAGTCAAGACTGCTTTACATTTAATTTATAAGTTGAAAGTTTGTATAGTTAAATACAATAAATTAGTTGTGATGTACAGAAGATAAACATTAGCAAGCTCAAGAATATGTTTAGCTCTTAATGTATAATAGCAAAGGTTAGTTATAAAGACTAGATGACGTCAATTTATGGTCTTAAATTGCAAAATAAAGTCTGCAAATTGTAGAATGGTTTCATTTTTATATCACTTTGCATGAGCTACTTTCAAACTCAGTGTTTTGTGTTTTACAACTACATTTCCTGTGGACTTAGAAATTAGTTTTGTTTCAAAGTTATGTTAAGAATATATTAAATACATTAACTTTAATATATTTGACTCTATAATTAACATATGTTATAAAATACAGACTTCAATGGCTTGGAAGACAAAAGTATTTGGAAATGTCCAAGGTTTTTAAAAAAAGTTTGTGAATATATCAAGACAGAGTAAAAAGACAGAATTTCAGTTTTGGGTTGACAAAATATTGGTAAATTTGACAAACTGCTAAATTATGGAAAATATTTTGATGGAAATTCTGGAAGAAAAAAACCCCAGAAAATGTCCTGGTAACTTTTTGCAGGATATTTTCAGGGTTTTTTTACAGAATTTCCCTCAAAAATTTCCTGTAATTTAACAGTATTTTAGTTCACATTTATTCCGTAAAAAAAACTGGAAAATGTCCTGGCAATTTTTTGCCAGTACATTTTCTGTTTTTTTACAAAATTTCTGGCAAAATTTTTTCCGTAATTTAACAGTTTTCTATGTTTAAAATTTAACATATATAAACTGTTAAATTATGGGAAAAAATCTGTTAAATTACGGAAAAAATTCTGCCGGAAATTCCGTAAAAAAACAGAAAATGTACTGGCAAAAAATTACCAGGACATTTCCCTGTTTTTTTACGGAATTTTTTTTTACTGTGCAGTTTGACTCTGGTTGGCGTCACTTCCTCTCATTCTGGCACGCAATGAAGCCACTTCTTGACAGTTTTGCTACAGTCCTCAAGAGTCAGCTTTCAGTCAAACTGTATAGCAGCGGCTGAAAAACACAAAAATAAAAGTAAGGAAGGTGCCGGTTATAAAGATGATAAACATTTGAAAAGTTCTGAAAGACATTGAAATATTAAACAGTGTACTGGTTACAAATCTGAGAACAAACACAAACCGTATAGTTCCCCATGTACACTCACTGTTAAATTAATATTTATCTTAATGTTTACATATACAATTACCTATCAAGCTGCAGTATAGTGTAGCATTTATGATGATGCTGCACTCATGTTAAAATGAGGGAATCAATATTTAAAATAAAGGGCTGTTTATCAGAAAACCTAAAGATAAAACTCAGGGAAGATCAGGGTTGATTTATTGGGAAAAATATTTATAATTTATACAGAATAAACTTCCATCAAATAGCTGGTTAAATCTTGCATTAACTACAAATTTCCAAATAAGTTGATTAAATTAATTCAAAAATGCCCATATGCAGATAAAGATCCCACACAAGTAATAATAGTCCAGTTCAGTAACCAGTTACCAATCCAAGGATCAACAGACTGAATCAGTCATTAGCAGGTTTAGTTCAGTGTTTCACCTGCCTTACATGTTAAGTGTTTCCCTTCTGCCTCACCTGGATTGAATCTGTGGATGATTAACAACCTTCTGCACTTCTTGATGGCTGCAGAAGGTAACTCAGCTGTTCTGGAACAAAGGCACATTTAAGGATGTCCCTAGGCACATCATAATAAAAAGTTAAAAACAAGTGATTACTATCACAACAATTTAAAGCCCACCTGGACCAGCCAGCCTTACACTTCCTTGTCCACCACATGTTCTCCCAGACCAAACAATAGGCCCCGCCCTATTTTAAAAACTCAAATCCCACAAAATCTCGCAGGACCACCTAGCAGCAGCTTTAGCCACATTTAGGAAAAAATATACTCTCTGTCAGTGCTGTAACGTTTAGAGGTTCACTTTCTGTGTTTTATAAAACAGTGTTTACGTGTTAGATAACCGTTATTAGTCATTGTCAATTTACCATTCTCCAACCAGCCTCCGATCATGAGTAAACCAGCTAGCAGCAGCTTTAGCCACAGTTAGGAAACATATACACCGCCGCCTGTCAGTGATGTAACGTTTAGAGGTTCATTTTCTGTATTAATGGAAAATAAAGGACAGCTTCCAACAACGTTGTTTAGAATAGTATTTTAAATATTGGGGCTGATTATGTATCTCTGCTCATTTCCAAGCTCAAATGAGCACCTTCACGTTCAAACACAAGTCCCCCAAAAAACTCGACCGGTGAATCATTATTTTTTATGAGTTTAGAAAAAACAAGACAAAAGCCACAAATAACAGTTGGGCTTGACATTTCTGTTTTTCCAGCAACAAAATGCGCATCTCCATGCACTGTTCATGTTTCTGTCGCTGCTGTCACAGAGTCTCTCCCAAAGACGCACAGAAGGAATAAAAAGAAACACAAAAGAAAATATTAATGTGCAGTGATTTGGATAAATAACTTTAATCTGATTACTGGATTTGAAATACGAACTCGTTAGATTATTTGTTACTGAAAAAGTGGTCCGACTAGAGGAAGGCATTACAAAGCAGCGGCGGCACCGGACATCTCTGCTTATAACAAACAAACCCGTATTTTATGGAATGAGTGGCAACTCCAGTCTATAATTTAAGAATCTGATCAAGATTAGAGCCTAAAACGTTATAGTTCAAAAACAGTAAAACGTTCTGGTTAAGGGACAGTTATGTCACGTAGTTAGCTAGCTAACAAAATTCACTAATGCTAAGCTAACGGTTACGCAAAACAAAAATACCTACCTTTATAGTCAAATGGGTATTGTTCGGTGAAGAATTTGTAGCCTTTGTCTAATTTAGATTTTTTTTGTCAGAGAGAACTGGTTTGCAAATCGTGATATATCTTCAAATCTTATTTTAGGCAAATGTTTTAGAGACTGTAAACTCCATTCTCCAGTGTTCTGTCTGATCAACATATGCTGTCAGATATATATATATATATATATATATATATATATATATATATATATATATATATATATATATATATATATATAAAAAACACAAATTTCTATATTCTCTTTATATACACATATATATATATATATATATATATATATATATATATATATATATATATATATATATATATATATATATATATATATATATATATATATAT